TTTTATACAAAACCTTCTGGTTGCTCCATGTAAATTTCTTCTTCAAGATCACCGTGAAAAAATGCGGTCTTCATATCAAGTTGTTCAACTTCAAGGTTCATACTTGCAGCCATGCCAAGTACAACCCGAATAGAAGACATATTCACAACCGACGAGAAAATCTCATCAGAGTCAATACCTTTCTTTTGCCCAAAGCCTTTCACAACAAGACGTGCTTTGTACCTTAGATTCTTGCTATCATTCTTCAATTTGAAAACCCACTTATTTTTCAGAATTTTCCTTCCCTTAGGCAACTTCACTAAATCATAAGTCTGGTTTTCAAGTAATGAATTCATCTCCTCTTCCATGGCCTTTTTCCAATCACCTTTCTTTGCATGCTTAATTGCTTCTTGGTAGCTCTCGGGCTCCCCTTGATCAGAAATCAACACAAACTCATTGGGAGAATACTTTCTCGAAGGTTATCGATCCCTAGTAGATTTCCTCAACTCAAGTTGTGGTGGCGATTCTTGAGTTGGATGCTCTTCCTCAATTTCTGACTCAACTTTATTAGGATTAGCATCATCTTCTACATCTTCAATGGGTGGCTGCACATCTCCCCTATTTTCATCATCAACTGAAGATGAAGGCGATGGATCCATGTCAATGAGATCACTAGTTTTTGGCTCCAGTTGATCACCTTTGCCAAAGTCTTCAATTGTTTGGTCTTCAAAAAACACAACATCACGGCTTCGAATAACCAAACTCATCACGCCCATAGCCAAGAAAAATACATTGTCTTGACTTACTATCAAGCTTAGACCTCTCATCCTTTGGAATGTAAACAAAAGCTCGGCAACCAAACACTCTCAAGTGCTCATAAGATACATCTTTGCCGGTCCAAACTTTTTCTGGAACATCACCATTCAAAGGATAGGAAGGAGACAAATTGATTACGTCAACCGCTGTCTTCATTACCTCACCCCAAAAGGATCTTGGCAATTTAGTTTGTGAAAGCAAACACCTTATTCTTTCCACAATGGTGCGGTTCATCCTCTCGGTAACCCCATTTTGTTGAGGAGTCTTCTTAACTGTCTTTTGGTGCCGAATACCTTGGCTGCGACAATACTCATCAAATGACCCAATGTATTCACCACCATTGTCTGATTGGATGCACTTCAATTTCTGCACTGTTTCTCTTTCAACCATGGCCTGAAAATGCTTAAATACTTCTAGAACTTGATCTTTAATTTTTGGTAGAAAAACCCAAACTTTCTTTGAATAATCATCAATGAAAGTAACAAAATAAAGTGCACCACTATGTGTTCTAACTTTTAAAGGACCACAAACATCCAAATGAATCAACTCTAAAACATTTTCTTTTTTAGAAGCAACATTTTTCTGAAAAGAAACTCTATGCTGTTTACCCGCCAAACAATGAACACAAGTTTTAAGATGTGTACCTTTCAAACCGGGTAGAAACTCTTTCTTGAACAAAACTTGCAGCCCCTTTTCACTCATGTGGCCAAGCCGCTTGTGCCACAATTCGGTAGAAGTATCATCTTCAAGTGCATTGACAATACCTTTACAAATTTTTCCTTGCATCGAATAAAGTGTATGAGTCTTCTTACACTTAGCCACCACCAAAGAACCCTTTGTGAGCTTCCATGTTCCATCACCAAATTTTTTGTTGTAGCCTTCATCACCTAGCTTCCCAGTAGAGATCAAATTGAGGCGAATGTCGGGAACATGCCTCACATCTTTAAGCAACAACTTGCAGCCCAAATTTGTTTCCAAGCAAACATCACCCATGCCGATAATCTTGGACAAACTTTCATTACCCATTCGAACAGAACCATAATCTCCTTCGGTGTAAGTAGTGAAGAAATCAACTCGAAAAGTCACATGAAAAGAAGCACCAGAATCAATCACCCAATTGCTCTCTTGGCCCACAAAATTGATACAATCATCTTCACAAACGACCATGAGATCAACGGTAGTAACTGCTGTTGTGTCTTCTTACTTCTTATCCACACTTTTGTCATGCCTTTTCTCTTTGTTCTTGAGCTTTCGGCATTCTCGCTTCATGTGCCATTTCTCATAGCAATAATAGCACTCAATGTCTTTCTTTGAAAAAGAACCGTCTCTTGATTTGTCACAGCTTTGATCACGACCGTGAGGAGTCTTACTCATTCCCTTTATTTTACTTCGGCCTCTCACAACAAATGCTTCCGAATAAGAGGAACCCGCTGATTTTCTATCATAAAGGCCTTCTAATTTTTTTCATAAATCATGTGCCGAAATTTCAGTAGCAACATGATGAAACACACTATCATTAATCCATTGACGGATAACACCAACGGCATTTCGATTAAGCCTATTCTATTCATCATCTTTCATACTCTCGGGTCTGCCATTATCATCCTCAATGGGTCCATACAAATCTTTACAAAATAATAGGTCCTCCATTTTAGTTTTTCAAGTTACCCAATTGCTTCCATTGAAGCTAGACATACGACCCACATTCCCCTCCATTGATTTACACAAATAAATAAACTCAAATAAACCGTAAGCTCTTATACTAGTTGTTAGGGAAAATATGTGATTCTCCACAAGCAAATCAATCAATGGGAATAAATTGTTGTAATCAAAAGCTGATATGAATTTTAACATTTCCTTCTATACACATAAACATACCTAATATTATATGGATGTGTAAATATTAATATTCGGTGTGACCACTCCTATTTGTACCCTACCAATAATGCGAATATTCACATCTCTAATGATGTAAATGTTCACATTATTATGTTTGTCACCTAAATAGTACTTTGTTGCTTTTGCTTATATGAATATCGTTGAATGTGAACATCCACATTGACTAATGATGCGTTGATGTCAATGTACATGCCTACCCTACCAATTCTATTGAAATTAAATTTAATATTCATATAAACACTCACTATTTATGCATGCCCATGTAACAGATATTGCATCTAGATTTTGCACAAAGAGAAAGAGAGAGGAGTATAATGTCAAAGAAGAGAGCATACCTCTAGAGAGCAACACCTACATCGACATGCTTCATGTCAATTATCAATCAAACATTACAGGCTTAGTAAAACTGATAATAAGCACCAAGTTTTGGGATCCTCAGCTAGACTATTTGAGGCAAACTCCGTTGTTCAATGGTTGGGGTTGTCCACCATACACTAACTATACCAAAATACAATGCTAGTTTTTTTTTTTTTTTTTGATAACTTGTAGTTGAAAACACTTGACAACATATATATAAATCAATGATATACTTCTCACAGACCTATGTGTTTCGATGGTATATTTGGTGTTGATGTGTTGCGTATGCTAAACAATATAAACTGTGAACATTCACATCTATTTTCTTATGTTGAAGTTTGTGTGAATGTTCACATCATAATTTATGTTCAATAAATGTGAATGTTCAAATTATGTCCTATGTTTATTGTGGTTGACTACAGATGTTAATATTCACATTAGACATTAATTAGGTGTATGATCTATGCATAAATTTATTAGAATTAATGCGAATTTTCACATTTTCATTGCATTGTGAATATTTACATCATACTGTGATTAACTATAGATGTTAATATTTACATTATACGTCAATTAGGTGTACGACCTATGAACAAACATGTTAGAAATTGGTGTGAATGACATCATAATTTATGTTAATGCCCATTTTCAATTAATGTGAATGTTTAAAATATGTCTTATGTTTACTGTGATCAACTACAGATGTTAATATTCCCATTTTACATATGTAGGGTGTATGATTCATCCACAAATATATCAAAAAAGAATATTGACTACACACAATGACAGTTGACCAAACAATGTTCTAAACAATATAAAGTGTGAACATCCTTATCTGGTCTCTTATGTTGAAGTTGGTGTCAATATTCACATCGTAATTATGTTAAGGCCCATTTTCAATCACATTATGTCCTATGTTTATTATAGTTGATTACAGATATAAATATTCATATTGTACATAAATAAGGTGTATGATTCATCCACAAATATACTAGAATTAATGTGAATCTTCATATTTATTTGTTATATTGTGAATATCACATCATTTTTGTATCCAAATAAACATTGTGGATGACTGAATACAACAGTCTGATATGAACTTTGACATCACAATTGCATAGTGATAATGAACACAGTGAAAATATATACACTATCTATATATTATCATGATTTTGACGAGGGTGCGAGTTAAGGTGGGGTTGCAGAGGAGAGAGAACGAGCAGATAGTGTGGAAAATGAAGTAAGGGAGGTGGCGGCGGTGGGTAGCGAGGTCGGAGAGGAGAGAGAGAGATGTAGGGTTTGAAGGAGAGAAGAGATGGTGGAGTCCAACGTGGAAGAGTTAAAGATGAGAGATCGAGCGAGAGATAGAGCTTGTAGAGAAGTGGAGGCGGTTGTGAGTTGGTTGAGAATTTGCTCGAATTTAGCACGAAGTTGTTGCTCCATTTATGGAGTTGGTGTGTTGTGAAGTTCTCTGAAGCAATTTGAGATGATGGAGTTAGTGTGTGTTGTGCTGCGAAATTATATATATATATATATGAAATATGTATATGTTTTTTTCTATATAATGCATATCAACAATAGATATAAAGGTATAATAGTCCAACAAATAATATAAATAAGGAAAAAAGGACCTTATAGAATAAAAATATAAATATATGAGACTAATTAAATTATAATTTTACTTGGTGGACTTATTGAGTTAGAACACTTCTAAGAACATCTCTAAATGAGATTTATCAATAAATTTTTTTTTTCTTTTCTTAAACATCAAAGACTCAAATTTTAAGATTCGTGTTTGGGCTCTGAAGATCTGGGGGCCAACCCTGTATGTGAATATTATGTAAATTTTGATTTTGATTTTTGATTTTTGATTTTTAGGAATACAAACCCAAAGTGTGGACCGTTGAAGGGAAAGATAGCCACGTAAATTGCTTGTACTTCACTAACATGAGATCCCATTCCACACTTCATACATTCAAACCCCAAACTCCACACACCACATATGGTATGTTATGTACAGCGCTACAAAATACTATCCCACATCAATTGTTTCTTTGATTAGCTAATCCAAAGTCCAAACACATACAAATAACATACTAGTGGAGACAGCTCTAAGATGGCCAATCGTTTGGGTCTTACACTGCAGCAAAAAAACCCAATTTTGGCTTCTGTATGTATACATCATCATACTTCACCTTCATCAACTTCAATCTCTTGTGCTTTTGATTCTCACCCTCAAAAACTTCCCAAAACTCTGAAGAAGAAGTACAAGGACAGAACTAGTAGTGGATATAGAACACCTCGTCGGGTGGTGCTTGGCATTGGGGCTGCATTTTGGGCTCAGTTCATGAGTATGGCTGGTAATACTGGCTTCAAATCTTTCGCTGCTTCTGCTAGGCAAAAGAGTGCGATTGAACAGGTTCATCTCCACCCTTTTTCTGGTGTTTCTTGATTTTCTTGGTTAATTTGGTTTCTGGGTTTTCTTAGATTTTGAAATTTGATGATTGGTTGATGCTAAATTAGGGACTTGCTGTGGTCAGCTGTTAATTGGTACCTGAAATGAAACTTTGAATTTCTCCCTAAAGGAAGTAAATTAGGTAAATGGTTTTTTTTGGTAATGAGGTTATGTGGTGCTTTGCCCCAATTAGTACTGTACATGTAGTCTTTCGTTCCGCACATATCGGGTAATTACTGAGCATAAGCTAAAGTGACCGCAAATGGGAAAGGAAAATGCCTTGTAACTCAAATTTTGTGGCTCAAAAGTGGCTCAAATGGCCAAAACGACGTCGTTTTTCTTGGTTAATTTGGTTTCTGGGTTTTCTTAGATTTTGAAATTTGATGATTGGTTGATGCTAAATTAGGGACTTGCTGTGGTCAGCTGTTAATTGGTACCTGAAATGAAACTTTGAATTTCTCCGTAAAGGAAGTAAATTAGGTAAATGGTTTTTTTTGGTAATGAGGTTATGTGGAGCTTTGCCCCAATTAGTACTGTACATCTAGTCTTTCGTTCCGCACATATCGGGTAATTACTGAGCATAAGCTAAAGTGACCGCATATGGGAAATTTGGATATTATTTCTCTACCACCTGTTACCCACTGATTTATATCTAGCTATCTATAACCCTCCCTCACTTGCAATCCTATCTCTCTCCTCCCTCATGTGTAATCACATCTTGTACATGAAGATCCAAAACATCAATTCATACGGAGAAGAAAGAATGCAAACTGAGAAACTTCAACCCAAGACCCCCAACTTGAGCTTTGATGCCAGGTTAGATCATCACTAATTCCAAAAACTTAATTTGTTAAGAGATAGACCCAACAATATATATATCGAGCTATTTAACACTAACATGAGATTTTTCATCCCAATAATCAGTTGTAACTCTAATTTGTGGTCTAATTTTATTTGCTATGATACAATTAGTTTTCAGATTATTCTGTGCCATTGCTAAATCTTTGAGTGGTCCAAGTTCTTCTTGATTCATTTTAATGGCCAACTGGTGTTAAGCTTCTTTCATTCTGATTCATATGTACAGTTCTTATATATTTAGGTGTTGAAGAATGTGGAATGGCCGGAGCAATTTCCATTCAAGGAAGAGGATTTCCAACGCTTTGATGAGTACAAGCTCTAAACTAATTTCTTTATTGCATTCGTATTTCATATTGATTTTTGTTCCCACAAACATTGTGTGCTCAATTAAATTATTTTAGATTAGTCAAAACTATAAAAATTTCAATTCCTGACCTCAAAATGTTTCTAAGTTCCAACCTCGCTTCATTAATTTGATTGAGTCTTCTTGTGCACGGGGAATGCCCTTTATCTTGAGTCATATTTCTAGGTTACAGCCTATCCAATGCTTAATACACGGAAATATAATTGTAACTTGTTATGTTTCATTTAAAAACTTGAAATGTTTTATCATGCCTATTTTGGTAAGTGGCTTTTTTTTTTTTTTTGGCTTATTGTCTTTTTTGCTTTTTTTGAAAAAAACGTACAAAAAAGTAGAGGAGTGATGTGACTCAAATAAGACAGTGAGCTAGCTTTTTTCCTAATTGCCAAAATATAAGTCTGTCCTTTTCTACATGTTGTAGGAACTCTCACCAACTACAATTTTATGCTTCGCTAGAACTACTCTTTGAGCAGTACTGATATTCTACTGGAAAACATGGTTTAACCTTAAAACCTTAAGCAACTATATATAGATCATTAAAAGATTTCTTGTTTATCTAATCTGTTTTATTCATTCTGTCTGTCTTATTTGGATTCACGTGCTATTTGTTCTGCCAAAAGATTGGAGTTGTTATTTGCATTCTTCAAACCTATAACTTTATAAATGATTTTTCTAGGTCACCAGATACATCTTTCTATGAATCTCCACGCTTTGTGACGCATATTGACAATCCAGCCATTGCGGCGCTTACTAAGTACTATTCAGAGGTTTTCCCACCCAGTACCACACCCGGAATAGCTATCCTTGACATGTGTAGCAGTTGGGTAAGCAATTTGTCATATTTACATCATTCCAGACCAATGTTGATGACTTTTATATTATCGTAACCTCATTCTTATTCTTTATCTAGGTCAGTCATTTTCCTGCAGGATATAAGCAGGATCGGATAGTAGGAATGGGTATGAATGAAGAAGAGCTCAAGCGGAATCCGGTGAGATCATACTTGTCATATGATTTCACTAATCCCTAATGTTATTTTTTTATGTGAACATATCGAATTGACTAATCTATGTATGAACATTTGGATGTGAATTTCATAATAGGGAAGGATGATTATCATAATTTGCATCCATTATCTATGTAGAAACATGATTCTACTAGCATTGCCATTTCCACATCACCCTTTGGTCTCACTGTGCCAAGTTTGTGAGGTAACACATGGGCTACTTAGGCACTCCTATTGTCATTCTAGATTTGGTCAAGCTAAGTGAGGCTAACACGAGTGGCGCCTTAGCCCCAAACCTAGGCATTTAGGGACAATCTACAGGGAATTTTCCATGGTGATCGAGGTCTTGGCTTTGTAGAATGGACTTATCACCTGAGGACTCTCATCCTTCACTCATGATGACACACTCGGACCATTCTCAATTCTGTTAAACAGCTAACTACTTAAGCTTGTCCCCCCTTTGCCTCTTTTCCCTTCTGTCTAGTGGCTCGTTAATGCTCTCAAACCAACTTAGGTTAAGGTCTACAGATTCCCTTGGGATTGGTGTTGCAATCATGGGGACCCAAATCCGTGCTTGTGACTCTTACCTAGGACCTCTAGCACGATGTGGTTTTGTGGCTAGAGTTGAATGTTTATTAAAAATACTCATCCTTCTCTCACTCAATGGATGAGTATTTAGTCATCTCCTACCGTAGCTAAAGGCTTTTTTTTCCTCCAAATCTAGACCTTGGCTTTACTGCTATCACTCGCCTCCTAAGGCTGTCTCAACTGTCATTCAGCTCACCTATCTAGCACCTCATACATGTTTACCATATTACTCATAAGGCTCCCACAATCAACCTACCCAACCCCAATGATCCACATGTAGTAGAAAGAAACCAAGTTCTCAGAGTAGGAACTTAAATAAAAGTAGATTATAGACGTAAACCGATAGGTGATGCACCATTTGTACACAAAAAACGAATAATATGAATACGTAAATCCTAAAAACAGAGACATTCTTAAATTGTATGCTATAATTGTATGCTATAAGCCTATATATAATTTTGTGTTATTGTCTTTTTAAACCGTAGTAGAATGTGTGACCAACATTGCATTGTACATGAACATAGTACCTATCTTTGTATTGTGGCGATGAAGAAACTCATGCATCTTTTATTTGACGTGTTTGTAGGTTTTGACCGAATATGTAGTTCAAGACTTGAATGTTAATCCTAAGCTTCCATTCGAAGATAATTCCTTCGATGTTATTACAAATGTGGTATGCGCGTGTTTCCCCAACTTTTAAGTATATTGTGTCTTTTGCTGCAAAATGAACACCTGCCTTTTTTTCTGCATATTTTCATGTTATGTCTATTGAAAGTGCAATTTCAATACTTGTATATCCATAGTTTAGTGAGTTTTCTTGTATTGGTAATGCTAGAGATTTGTCTTTATAAAAGCTTATATTCGTAGGCGATGTCCAAAATTCAAACTTATGATTTAATGTTATTCAATGTTATGGAGTATGATGATCATATTGTGGCGATGATTTAACAGGATTTCTATAATGCTAAGATAAGAAACTTTTTACGATAAAGATTTGAGAATAAGATCCAACGTCTCGAGGTCAAGTCACCCCTAGGGGTCACAGGAGGTTTGCCCAATTGTTAACTTCAAGGGCCCCGGATTCGTCTAAGTGTGCGAAAGTTGGCCCGGGCACCCGGTTATCAAAATATATATATTTCAAAAACCACACTTTTTAAGAAGTATCAAAAAATTGTTTTCGAATTTTTGAAAATAGTTTTTGCCAAAAAAAATTAACATGATATGGAAACGATGAATGTTTTCAAACTTTTCATTGTTTTTTTTTTATGAAAACACAACTGAATCCTTTACATCCTGCAGGTAAGTGTTGACTACCTAACAAAGCCTATGGATGTTTTCAAGGAGATGAGCCGGATCCTCAAGCCTGGTGGTCTTGCTGTAATGAGGTGATAAATTGTTCATTTTTGAATGTATTTTAAAAGAAAAATATTAACTAAAATTTATGTAAATTGTTTCCCCGTAAGAGATTTTTTTTTCCGTCTTTAGAACAATTCTTTGAAATCTTGAGGAGTTTGGTGACAATTTTTAAACATGAATGATCATCAAAGCCTAAGAATTAGTCAAGTTTAAAGTCATGCTAGTTTTGCCAACATTTTAACCCTTGACCTCAAAAAAAATATAGTCAAAATCTTAGTAGTAGGAATTTCCTATGGAGTCTAGCTCGGTGCTCCTGCTCCTGCTCCTGCTCCTAACCTTAAACTCTTCTATAGGGCCCTCACTCCCCTGTCCCAGCTCCCACTCCCGCCACCGCCACCTCCACTGCCACTGCTTTTGTTTCATACAACTATGGTCAAAATACAGAGATGAAGCTAAGGAGGGAGGGAATAGAGTGCTTTTATACCTATTTGCTAATGTTTATTTTATTGCTTTTTGTTTATATTTACAAGAATTTTAAAAACGGTATATAAAAACTCATTTGGTGTTTGTTTTTATATCTAAAAAAATTATAAATAATTTTCAAAATTATTGTAATTACAAAAATGTTTCATTCCTTCCTCTCTCTTGCACTCCTCCAGTCACCACTCATAGCCCATCACCACAGCTGACCACCACATCCAGCCACCCCTCACTTCTGGCCACTCCCTCTCACTTAAAAACAAGAATTTGAAACATGTATGTATCAAAGATGTTATTTTGTTTTCAGTTTTATCAAAAATGAATTTGCTACTGTTTTTAAAAATAGTAGACTGTAACCGTTACCAAACGGCACTGCATATTGCCTCCTTTATTATGGCATCCTTTTTGTGACTGATCTCACATATTGTGTATGTAAATCAGTTTCTCCAACCGTTGCTTCTGGACAAAGGCGATCTCAATATGGACATCAACCGGTGATGCTGATCATGCTATGATTGTTGGATCATACTTCCATTATGCTGGAGGATTTGAACCTCCTCAGGTGATAAACCTCTTGAATTTGTTTTTTTTTTACTCTGCAAATATTTTGTAGTAACATAGTTATACAGTTATTCCTTTCAAAACAATAGCTTCATGGTAATGCAAGTCATGATGATATAAACCAGCTCAGCTTAGGACATTAACGCAGTTCACCATAGGGGGTGTACACAGACCGGATTAGTTTGGTTTTAGGGTAGACTTGGGACCAAACCAGTCCTAAGGTGTCAGTAAATTTGGAATCAAAACCGAACCGTTGAAGCCATAATCATTTTAGGCTATTGATTATATAGAAATTTAGGATTGTATTACTCATCAAAAAAATTAATTCATGGTAAAATATTTATGTGTGTTCTTGTAAAGAAATATTGGCTATATAAATTTGGTAGTGTGAGATTCTCCCAAATTTGGAACAACTCAGTTTGCTTAGTGGAAAGACCGAGGTTTGATTTCTCCTCTTATCACCTTACGACTCTTTACTTTACCTTCTGAAATTAATTTTAAAAATGGGGAACAATTTGGTTTGGTTTAGTACAATCTTTTTAAACCTTAATTCGTGAACTGAACTATAATCAACAGTAATTGATTATTTAGAACCAGACCAAACCAAATGATTTAGGCCGGCCAGCCCAGATTGGTTTAATGGTTCCACCAACTTTTTTGTACACCCCTTGCTGACCGATTGAAAGTCGGTGTTTTTAGGTTTGAAAGCACTATTTGATCGGCTGACGCCTGTAAATTTTGTGGCAAGTAATGATATAAAAATAAAATTCTTGTACAGAATTTTCATACAAAATGATGTAGCATCTTGTAGTCCTTCATTTTCAATCAAAATGTCTATTAGTCCTTATAATTTCAAAATGGCACAGGCACATCATTTTTGTCATGAATTATGTATAAAAATTCTACAAGCATATCATTTTCCTTTTTTCTGCAGGCTGTAGATATATCTCCCAATCCTGGACGGTCCGATCCGATGTACATTGTGTACTCTAGAAAGTTAGCTACTGCCTGAAGAACTTTGAGATTTTCTGGCTAATGTTCTCATAAATAGGTATTTTTGGTTTTAACTATTTAGCTCTTGTATTTTTTGAGCATTGCAAATTTTGTTGTAGTTTTACTTGTATATTTGACCAAAATTATCTCACTTTCAAACAATTAATCAAGATTATGTTCTATATTTTGATTTTCATAAATGCTTGAGACGCCTAATTTATCACCCCTAATGATGTGTTTGACAAGTGTTAACTTTTGATTTGTCAAACATTGTGGTCTAAACCCAATACCACATCGTTAGGGGTCATTTAGGAGTGATAAATTAGGAAAATATAGCATTGTTGATAGATTTATTGTAATAGAGAAGGCAGTAAAGCCAGATTGCAATTAATAAGTAAACTTATTTTTTAAATATTTTTCATTTTAAAGATTGTCTTTAATCAAGATTATGCTCTCTATACGACCAAGATATCGATGATTTTCATATAGATTTCTTGTAATGGAGAAGGTAATAAGGTCTCGCTGTGGCTTATTTCTAGCTTTAGTCAATTTTGGGATGAAATTTTATAATTTTTAGGTCTGTTTAGACTAATTAATTCTAAAAATTAATTTTTTTTAAAGTTTTCACTAAAAAAAAGACGACTTCTTAGAAAGAAAAATAATAATAATAATTGACAAAATTTGTTTTTTTTTTTTTATTGAATTTTTCTTGAAAATAAAATTATGTTTTTAATTTTTAAGATTGTTTAGTCCAGCAGACTTAAAAAATAAAAAATAAAATTAACTAAAAATTTGGAAAAAAAATATATAAAAAATAAAAATAAGCCAAAGAATAATAATAATAAGTTGAGCCAAAATATAAGTACACTTTAGACACTATCTTTGTGTCTAGCGGGCAGGGTGATAAGCGAGTCAAATGAGTCTAGCAGTTAATTGTTCTTGTTTAATTTGAAAATTTTAATGCTTGGTTATCATTTTTTAAAAATATTTTTCAGAAAATTTTATTTTTTTATTTTTCATGTTTTTTTGTTTTTATTAAATTTTTTTAATATTTTGAGTAATTTTTAAAATTTTTAAGCATACCTAGCATACATATACTTAAAAAGTAAAAAAAGAAAATTAAAAAGAACCTTTTAAAAATTCACTAAATATCAAAAATAAAAAAAATATATATATATATGAAAATTTAGTGTATTTTTATGTATTTATTAATTTTTAAAAATATTTTTTCACAATTTTTTTACTTTTTAGATACATCTAAGTAAGGTGCATCTAAAAAAGTAAAAAAAATGTTTAAAATTTTAAAAATATTCACTAAAAACAAAAAAATACGAAAACTAAAAAA